CTGTGGATCCCTCTAAAATTGAGAGTATTGTCGAATGACCTTGCCTGAGAGATGTTAAACATCAGAGGATTCCTTGGACTGACCGGGTACTATAAAAGATTCGTTAAAGGGTATGGTAAGATAACACTTCCCCTGAGTAATCTGTTAAGAAAAGATTCATTCATGTGGGGTGAGAAACCTTAGGAAGCATTTGAGGCATTAGAGGCTACCCTAACCAGTGTACCTGTGTTAATGATGCTCGATTTCTCTAAACAGTTTGTCATTGAAACTGATGCTTCGGGGTGTGGTTTAAGAGCTATTTCAATGCAGGAAGGGAGGCCTCTTGCTTTTCTCAGTAAAGGATTGTCAGCGAATTCAAAGCTCAAGTTTGTTTATGAAAGAGAACTGATGGCCATTGTGATGGCAGTACAGAAATGGAGACATTATTTGCTCGGCCGACACTTTACCATCAAAACTGACCAGAAAAGCCTTCATTTTCTCACTGAACAGAGGTTGCTAAATGAAGACCGACAGAAATGGGTGTTGAAATTGCTCGGGTTACATTTTGAAATACAGTATCGACCAGGGCCAGAGAACAAGACTACTGATGCATTATCCTGGAGGCCTGAGAATGTTGAGAATAACGCCATTTCAATGGGTTATTTCAGCGGGTTAGATGAATTGGAAGATGCCATTCAAAAGGATGACAAGTTGCGGCAGCTCACCTAGCAGCGTATGGTTGATCCTCATTGCCACCTTCCTTTCAAATTAATGGGCAGACACCTCATGTATCAAAACAGGTTGGTTGTACTGAAACAGGGCGCTCATATTGAAAAACTCTTGCATGAATTTCACTCATCTCTGATTGGAGGTCACTCTGGATTTTTTAGAACTTACAAGCGCCTGATGAATGTGTTTTATTGGGATGGAATGAAGAGGGACATCCAAACTTATGTTAGTTCATGCAACGTGTGTCAACAAAGTAAATATGAAGCATTGAGGCCAACTAGATTATTGCAACCTCTTCCTATTCCAGTTCAGGTTTGGGAAGACATTTCCATGGATTTTATAATGGGACTTCCAAGGGTGCACAATGTGGATACTATCTTGGTGGTAGTTGATCGACTCACTAAATATAGCCATTTTCTCATGCTTAAGCATCCTTATACATCAAAAGAGGTGGCAGCAACATTCATTAAAGATGTAGTAAGGCTCCACAGGTTTCCACGGACGATTGTTTCGGATCGCGATTGAGTGTTTATGAGCCATTTTTGGGGAGAATTGTTCAAGTAGGCCAGAACTAAGCTTCATATGAGCTCGACCTACCATCCACAGACAGATGGACAAACGAAGGTTGTCAATAGGTGTTTGGAAACTTACCTCCAGTTTTTTGTAGGGAATCAGCCTCAACAGTGGCCTCACTAGATTCCGTGGGCTGAATTCTTGTTCAATACAACATACAGCAACTCCATGGGTATGAGTCCTTTCAAAGCCTTATACGGAAGAGATCCTCTAGCCTTGCTGAAATACACAGACCACAGTTCTCTGGTGGATGAAGTTAATCAACAAATTCAGACTTGTAATGGTATCTTACTTAAACTTAAGGAGAATTTGCACAAAGCTCAAAACTGCATGAAAAGTTATGCCAATGAGAAGAGGAGAGATGTCCAGTTTGAGGTGGGAGAATCTGCCTATCTTAAGCTACAGCCCTACTGTCTAAAATCCATAGCTTTTTGTTACAATGAAAAGCTAAGTCCAAGGTTTTATGGCCCTTTCCGAGTCCTTGAGAAAATTAGACCAACAGCTTATAGGTTAGAACTACCAGATACTGCCCATATCCATAATGTGTTTCATGTGTCCCAATTCAAGAAAGCCAATTTTCCACCACCAAACATTCAGCCTCTTCCGGATTCATTGAATGAGAACCTGGTCTTAGTAGTTAAACTAGATGAGGTGCTTAAGATCTGCAGGTTAATGGTCAAAGGGAAGTTCTAGTAAAAGTAGAAGGGGTTGCCTCACCATGAGAATACTTGGGAAGAGTATAACGACCTGAATTTACAATTCCCTTCATTCCACATTGAGGACAAGGTGGCTCTTCTTCGGGAGGGTATTGATACAACACGTGAGGTGCTGGTATATAATAAGACGCATGGGAAGAAGCACTAGAGGATCAATTGTGATAAAGGAAGCAACTAAAGTGTGAAGAGAAGAAAAAGGTGGAGTGGACAAGTGGCAAAAGATGAATGGTGGAGGATTGAATTCTGTTAGGAAAGGAAATGAATAAAAAGGGAGCAGGAGATGATAAAAAAGGGGTCTGGAGAGAATATAGTGAAGGGGAGGTAGGTGGCCCTCGAAGTCCAGCATATTAGTTTTCCATTATATTGTTGATTCAATTCTTGTTAATCTTGTGTTGGGATATTAATCCATCAGATGAGTGTAATTTTGAACTTCTCAATGCAATATATATATATTTGTGATTCTGGATGTTTACATTGCATTGTTTGAATATATCTGGTGTTTAGTATTTTGTGCGTGGTTGAGTAAGGAATCTGGGTAGGTTCGCAACAATATAAAAGCAAGAATTACCTTATCAGACGAAAGCCGAGACCATACGAAACTCCTTGCAAAAAACAATGTGAAACGTGAATGTCAAAATTCAATTTATTTCTAACAACAAATTCAAAACAAAGAGAGAGCGAAAGAGATGACATGAGATGAAACGGTACCGTATGGATTTTCGATTGACGGAGCTTACGAAGCAAAGAGGAGGCCCCCGATCACAGGTAAAACACCGAGTCGTTTGCATTTGGAGCAGCGGAGAGTAGCACCACCGATTCGTCGAAGATTACTCCTTTGACTATACTCATTTTCTTGTGCTTTCTCTGTCTTCATGTTTTACTGGCTTTACAACGAAAGAGAAAGGCGAGATATGGCCATGGGAGAATCACATTCTCTGCTTTAGATTTTAACTAAAAATCGCCGCGCATTCATTTTTTCCTGAATTGACAACTTTACTCTCCTACTTTTCCCTTTTATATTTTTTTAAAATTTTGAGTAGGATTAATCATCTAAAAATATATATTTTTTAATCTTAATTATATATTTAAAAACTTTAATATCTGAAAATATTTTTAACATAATATTTAAAAAATATTTTTAAATAAATAATATTTAAAATCTATTTTTTGAATTGAAAATTATAAACTCTATTCAAGTAAGTTGTACTAAATCGATTTTTAGATTACGGATAAAGGTTATGTTAATAGGGGAAAGTACTTATTCTAAATAGATGTATCAAATCACTTAGACGCCTATCCAATGATCAAATACAACATTATGTATAATTGGAAATTTTATTTTCTACTCAATGACCATACGATGGTTTTAAGAAATTAGCTCATATTTTTATAAGTTACAAAATACAATTTGACACATGATATGAAAATTTCACCTAAGATAACACGTTATTTTCTAAGAAATTTGAGATACAAAAAATTCGAGGTTGGGGCTTGGGTCGGAGGAGATAGTTATCTTGACAAGGTCGAGACCCAATCCTAGAAATTACTAACCTTGCACATTAAACTAATATGGGTTTTCCTCGTGAGCGATGTTATTTAAGCCCACAAAATTTCTTCAGTTTAATATAGAATTTAAATGCAGTTTTTGACAACTACATCATTTAAGAAACTTACTTGAGACGATCTCACTGTAAGACTTTGGTGATGTGTTGTGTAACCGTATAAATGCTAACTATTCTCGTTCATCCAGCTGTCACCATGGATAATCAATAACTAACATTGATTGTTCATCAATAATCACTTTTTTTGATAGATGGTTTTGAAAACCCTAGTTAGTAAAACGATTTACGTTCTTTACAAAGGGTTGCCGAATTATACGCTTATTATTGAAGTATCCGTGTAATTCGCGAATTGTTCGTGAATTTTTGCAAAAAAAAAAAAACAAAAAAAAAAAAAAAAAAAAACCATTACTCACCCCAAAACGATGTCGTTTTAGTGGGGTTTAATAACTTTAATTCAAAATTAAACAGAATCTCTTCTCTTCTTCGGTTCTTCTTTCTTCCTCAGTTCTTCGACGGATGATATTTCAGCTTTTCTTCCTTAGTTCTTCGATGTTTTAGCTCTTCTGCCATAACTGGTTGAGATTTTTAATGGGTTTGTGTTTGTTTGTTAGGGGAGAAGAATGGTGAACTGGTTGAGATTTTTTGTGTGACATATGAGGTGGTGAAAGACACTTTAGGGTTTGAGATAAGAATATCGGGCTGAAGTATGTGCAACTCTGTGATGTTTGTTGAACAAGTGGTGCTATTTTTGTAGGCAAGGGGACATAGAGAGGGTATTTTATTTTTATTTATTTTCCTATTTGCTTGAATATTTTGTTGAGTTTCATGGCATGAATTTCCTAGCGTAATTCCATGGAACGAAATCCATTGGCATCAATTCATGGTCTTTTCTTTTAATCATAACCACAAACATCATAACAGTTTTTGTGTGCTTCATTGAAATATATAAGATTCATGCATATTTGGGGATTTGGTTACAATGCCTTTCACCGGAGCACAATGTTCATTTGGAGAATTTGTCTATATGACTACAAGCTTCATTGTTTTGTTGGTCTGGTCCTTGGATTCGGAGAAAATCTCCATAGTTTGCAATACAGCGCTCCTCCATATAAGTCAGCAAATGTAGAATATACAATTGAACTTTCATAAATACCAAATTTTCAGTTTGATTTTGTTCTTCTTCTTTTCTTTGGTGGTGTTGCTGTTTTGGTGATTAATGTTCATGCTTACTGTTGCAGTGTAAAGGCCATGCTTTTTTATTAGAAAGGGTCAACTTTAAAAATGATCACGCTCGTCTCAATTATCTCATCGTCCTATAATCAAACTGACGTTACCGCATAAGCAGTTACGTCAGTTGAGAGGTCAACAATATAAATACCTTCAATATTGCCTCACATCTCGCCTAAACGTGACAAAAATCTTTAATGAGTTTTCCTCATAGTCTTTCAATAAATTTATGTTTCATCAAACAATATTATCTCTTTAAACTACTACAAATAGTAACTATTAAAGGGAAAACAAAATCGCCCAAATTGAGCACAACCAGTTTTAACTGAAGTATAACAAAATAGCAAGCATATATAAAAGGGGAAAAAACGTAAACATAAACCAAATCATTCTAGCTAAAGTATTCTGAGAAATTTAGCAACAGATTTCATCACTCTGTTCCAATCAATCCAAGCACAGTAACTTCTGCTTCAATGATGCAAGTGTCATCCACCAAAAAACCCTGTTTTGGATCCTTGAGTTCATGCAACGATAAGAACTTTCTACAACCCCAATTTAGGGTTGGAGCAGCAAACAACTTTTTACCTGCAAGAAGATATTAAAAAAAAAAGAAAAAAAAAAGATAAGTGACTTTATGATCCTTCCAACCATAATAACCAAGGCAAGAGACTAAGGCACTAATGCAATCCTTACATTGAAAATCCTCCCATGCCTAAAACTTTTAACATGCGAACTAGAGTTGAGCGCCTAGTTACTTACTTTTGATTATAGGCTTCGTGAAGTGAGCATCTAGATGCTCACATTTTGTCCGCATTTTGAAAATTTCAAAACGTCCGCATTCAAAAATGAATAATCTTTATATTGCATTCAAAAGATTCCTATACGCCACTTCAATGTACAATCTTTAGTATGCATTTGACACAATTTCTCTCTTCACCAAAAAGACTTACAATATCGAAAACTGGAAACACTAAATCTAAACTCTTGACTTGCAACCAAAAGAGTTAAAAGCGTGATTAAGCAAATTTCATTTTTTTTTCTTAACAATAAATAACTTTTTGCTAAAATTATAGTGTCAAGAACTCTAATTGAAGAAGTTGTATGGTAAGAATTCTTAATCTCACGTGCAAATTCAATGTGCCTTCCTTCAATTTGATTTTTGACACGCAAAATGAATTTCACAAACAATTTAGCTGTGCCATCAGGGATAAATGACTTGGGCAGAGATATAAAAATTGAAATATTGTTGCCCTCGGCTTCTGCAATTCCATTAGGGTAGAACAAAATTTTCCTGCATTATAATTAAAAATTAATCAAACTCAGGAAGTGGTTCATATGGCAAAGAGAAAGAAAAGCCATTCTATATCAAAAGTGTATATGTACCAGTTGCAGTCTCCAAATGGTATGGACTCATAACTTTCCTTGAGTAAATTTGAAAATTTATTGATTTTCCAAAGATGGTAACATGTAGCAGGTTTTTTTATCATTGATAAGCACTCCCCTTTTGAAACACATTTGACAACAAAAACCTCGGCACCAAAAACACAAGTATCATCAATAAGGTATCCCTTCAGAGGGTCATGAAATGATTTCAGGTCTATGCATTTGGTGATACCCCATTTGGTCTTCATTGCGTGGTATCGCCCTACCCTACCATCTACATCACAAACATTAATGTAGCTATAATTATGAAAGCATAACAAGTTGTAAATTTATCAACAGTACTGCCACATTGTTGACCCTTTTAAATCAATATAAACACTATAATAATATAACTTTGATTGCATAGCAAATGAGGAAGATGATTTCAGCCAGTTTGCCCCAGCATTTTTCTCAAGACCTTGAAAGGGTTCCAAGAACTATACCAAAAAAAAAAAAGAAAAAAAAAAGAAACGGACCATCAAGCTATAAACAAAAAGAAACCCTAATCCTTCCCCGATGAAGCCATAGAAACTTCCCAATTTCAATGAATAAAAAAGACTTCCTTAAACTTTTGAGGACATAAACGCCTAAGAGATATCCAAAACTTTATTTTATCCCACCAAGAGAAAACCTCTCTTTTCCACAAATATCTTCTAAATTTCTCCTATTCCTATCCAACCACAAAATCCAAAAAAAACTTCCATGATTAAAGCACAGACTATTAACACACCAGCATTCCTTCTGCCTTCCATAGTTGCATGTCTTCCTATTAAAGCCAAATGACAACTAAAAGGTAATGCCTAGGAAAGTTTAAACTCCTTAAAAATTGTTTGCAAACAGCTAAAAATGACGAAACACAAAAAGAGTGTTAATATTCTCTTAGTCCTTTTTGCAAAAAATGAATCAATTCATATTTCAGGTCCTCTTCTTTGAAACGTTTAATTAGTGTGTGTATGTGTGTGTTTTTTTTTTTTTTTTTAGCACAACAGTTAAGATCCTCACTTGGACTTTTAACTTTCTGAATCACTCTAAAAGGTCTTCTCCTTTGAAACATACCATTAGGAGAGTCAATAAGACTAGAAAAGCAAGATTTTGTTAAAAATTCCAAACCTGTCAAAACCACACTCTTATAATCTCCAAGCAGCTAGCATTGTAAGATGCCAGATGTCGCAATCTTACAATCTCTAAATACAGTTAGGGTCACCAAGAATTTTCAGTATATAAGCGTAGACATGGCACAGTACGTTATTATAATTTTATATTGTCAAGGACATTACCTTGGAAACTATCATACTTGTCCTCAAGCTGATTGTAGATTAAAAAATTGAAAATCACTTTGACTTCCCATCCTGCAGGGAGAGAACTTGTCTCCATCAATTCCAGGTAAACGGAGATATGATTTCCCCAGTTTTTGCTAAAGTCACCATTTGGGTAGATATGCAGTGTCCTGTAAAACCAGATCCCAATTGTACAGTGAAAGAAACGAAGAATTGTATTATAATTCTACACTAAAATGACCTGATATCCTGAAACTTGACAAATGGTCATAAACAACAGGTTGTTTACTATCTATTTTAGGGTCATATTATGCAAGGTAGATAGAAAAATAATGTGTACACTTCACATGTTTTACAAGATAATCATAAATGAGAAAATGTAAATAATGTCGACATCTTTGAATATACAGAAGCTATGGTAAAAATAAATTACCATTTGAAACCCCCCGCTTCAAATTGGCTCGTTTTGTATATCTCAATTGAAGCTTTTAATAACGAGAATGACTTGATTTTGAACAAGTAATGACTAGGCAAAGCATCCCTTCCTGAAAGAAGATCAAATAAGGGGCACAATAAAACAAAGTAATTATATTTTTACACCTCCTACATTATGCTTTTATAATAAACTCCAGAAAATTGCCTTAAGAGGAAGTATGTAGTTCAACTTATGAAAGTTAGTGAAAAACTTAAATGAAATATTTTCAGCTCATAACATCAATAAGGCCATTAAAGAACACCATACAGCTACAGAAACACTAGCATGAAGAATGAAAGATGATTTTTTATGGTACTGAAAGCTGAGGAAATTTCCAAATAGAATCATCTATTGCTTTCACTTTTGTTTTTACACTAAAATAACATATTAACCCTAATTTTGTTAGCATCATAAAGGTATTGACCCTTTCTTTATCTTCTGATACGCAAAAATCTATCGTATTTTTTGTATCTTTCTTATTTAAGTAATGCTATACTTATAAAGTTGGAATCCCAACTTTGAGAAACACTTAGATAAAGCAGTCTCACCACCGTAGCAATGTGATGAGACCATTCAATTAAACAAGGACATGTATTATTAGTTTCTCGAAACCACCCATCATGACGATGATCAATGAATGATAGAGAGTTATTGATGGATGTTAGCGAAAACAGAATGAAAAAGAAAATTTAGCATCTATGCGGCAACACATGCCACTAGGATCATCCACAAAGTGAAGTGGTAAGACTATTACGTTATATAAGTTTTTTTCACCCGACTTTGGATCCCAACCAATGTAGATGATGACACCACATCAATTCTAAAGTCATGGGTAAAATCATGACGACTTTATCCTAATTAAAGAGGTATTGATACGTAATCAAGGATCTCAAGATAAAATCCCAACTATGGATATACAGCACAACACTACTGTTATTATATTTAACTGCATTCTGGTAGTTAGTAGTTGCATCTAAATCCATGGAGAAACTCAAAAAAATCTTCCATGTCATCAGTCTTGCATAAAAATACTTTGACTAAAATCCTTTAATCTATATAACACGTATAGAAATATTAAAAAAAAAAAAAAAAAATTAAAACTTTAAGCTTTAAATAAAATCCTGACGAAATTGTATAAACGGGATTTCAACCTAAGAAGTCTGTACAACGTGATCTATTATAATCAGCCCAAGTGACTTAAATCTACACATACCTTTCACGATGACGACTTCAGCGGACTCCTCGGTCTTCATATTGGCGTTGAGAAGAAAACTGCGAATTTGAGGAGGTACAAAATCTAAATAAGCGTTCCTCTTCTCTTGCAATGCAAGGAATTAAAATACCATCTTTGTACAACCACGAAATGGGCTTCTACTTTGGAGTGCAAATGGGCCAGTCCATGAACATAATCTCAAAAGTCTGATCTATAAACCCATGTAAAATTTCTATTATTTTGATACACTTTATTTACAAATTATCAATAAAGATGTATATTTTTCGGTGCCATGATCAATATTTTGTTGGTTAATCGTATAAAGGGCATAATTTAAGATGATTCATTTTAAATTTAAAAGGCATGTGATTTGTGTGACCAGTACATATGCTCGAAAATTATCTATTTATATTACTCTAATTAAGAATCATGACGGGCCTTCAAAATTTGAACAAGTAAAGGTTTCAATGACATTTTTTGCATTAATACAACATAAAATCTCTAAGCATACACTCAATTAATATTACCTCAAGTTCAAATCACTTGCTTACACATCAAAGATGTAATTTAGTAATAACAATTTGAATTCAAACTGGTTCTGTTCAATATATGCTTTGAGACAAATAATGTTACTTAACAAATTGTCACATTATTGGTACACGACATTACATGGAAAATTACATGTAATATCGTATTATTGAAATCAATGAGTAATAATGTAATCTGCACCATCACTTTGCTGAATTAGCTCACATGTGGTGGTCCAGAACTGGAAATCAAGTGCAGGTCCATAATCATGAACGGAGCAAAATATCATAAAATGGCTCTAGGTCTGAATCTTTCTACAAGTCCATAAGCCGATCTATGAGTAGTTTGAAAATGGCTAGAGCACTTCACTGTAGGTTTGTCCGACCACTCAGTGACTTCTGCAAATCTGGTTGAAATGGATGACTTAGTAGGAGGACAAAGAAATTGTAGTGACAGACATTAGAAGTTCCGATGAAGCATGATTCAAGAACATGTTAGAACAAAAGTTTTGAGAAATTTATCATGCAACTTTCCATTTTCCATCTTAATTTATCATGATCAGGTTGCTGAATTGACTTGAAGAAAAGGTCATACCTCTTCTGTTTGTTGTATAATACTGTGAGTCCCCTTGTGATGCCCCAACTAGGAGCCCCAACTCGCAGGGCAAGTAGGCAGGCAACGATATAATTTTGAGATAGATATAGAAGCAGAACAATATATTATCTAATGAACTGTTTGTAAGAGTTAACATCAATTTTTTGAATAGTCAGACAGTTGATAGCTGAAGAGTTAGATTTGAGGAACTCACAGTGGCCTCTGCTATTGGGTTCACATTTCCATTTACTGAGAAAGCACCACCAAGAACTACTATTTGCCCAATGTGTCTTTCCCAATGCAAGATCTGTTCAACCTCCTCTACCAATAGAGAATATATCAATATGTAACCCCTATACATTGGTTGTTCTTAAAATACTGTTTATGTGCGAGTAGGAACGATCTTCCTTGAAGCGGAACGGGTGCTTCATGAGTCGGAACGGGCATAGGAAATTATGCTACTTCTAAGAAGCCAAGTCACATTTTACTTTTGCAAGTAAATTAAATCTACCAAATAGTTCTCAAATTTTACTGTTACAGTGATTTGGTTGGTGGTCCTTTGGGACTTCATGATGAACACTGCGGTGGCTTCTAAAATACCTGTCCCCACTCCCTAGAGCTCTTTGACAAAAAACCTACTGCCTCGCTCTCTCTCCCACCCGCTCACCTACTTAGTTGTTCTGTAACAAATTAATGGTATGTCTTATTGTTTAGGTTTATAATAAGTATTCAAATATTCATTTTCTTTTAATTTTTTTAAATATTATTTTAAAAACAGAAGAGGGTAATTTTTGTAATAAAGAAATAATTTGAATGTTACCAAAATAGCTTTCTCGGTTGTTTGGTTATGTTGGATGGAGCTGAGCACAACATGTTCCTGACACCAAGCTGCATTAATCATTTTCTCATTTTTCTTGGATACTTGTGTGTGTGGCTTCGTGTGTACAATACTTGGTTTTTTTTTTTTTTTCTCTTTTGTTTTTTTCTTCAAATACAGTGGTCTCTATCCTATTTAACTTTGTCTATTGTTGAGCCAGAACCTGTTTGAAGAAACATTGAAGAGCAGGGACTTGAGCATTGAACTCACAGGGGTCATGTCTGGTGCACAAAATGACATGGCAAGAAGAATGAACGTATCAAGCATTTGCTGTGGTGTCTCATGAGGATTGAGCATTGAGAGAAGAAAGTCTGATTGAGTTTCATCAAAGTCAATTCATGGCCATTGATTTGTTGTTAAAACACCAATATTATTGATGATGAACCAGATGATCTAGCAATTCACAGGAGTTGTACAATTTTCTATTCTTTGTCCAGTCAGGACAGGAAATTATTTTCTGAGGCTACAAAAATGTTTATCTAGAACCACTTTCTAATAAAGCTCTTGGAGCTTCCCAGCTTCGAAGAATAAAGATAGAACTTCCTAAGATTCTGATAAAAACAAACCTCTCCTCCATTAGTTTTGAGATATTTATTTATTATCCCATATATCCTATGCTATTTGCTATAATTAGTGTTTCATGAAAATTTTCAGGTGTTGAATACCCATAAAGAATTTCTTTCATATTTCAGTTTCGATAATGATACCAAAAGAGTTTTCTACACCGGTGAATCAAAACATGTCAATTTCAATTGGGTGTTTCAAAAGGCAATCATTTAACTAGCTTCACATATCTGATCAATTCTAGATTAAAACAGCTAGCTAATACAGATGATTAGGAAATGCAAAAGCTCAAAAAGAACATTCTTTAAATCTCCTACAAATTACCACAAATCTGAGATGTACTTTCTCTTCAACTATGCAGATTTTCTCCGAATCCAAGAACCAGACCAGCAAAACAATGAAGCTTGTAATCATAAAGACCTGCGTATAGACAAATTCTCAAAGTAAACATTGTGCTCTGGTGAAAGGCATTGAAACCAAATCCCTAAATATGCATGAATCTTATATATTTCAATGAAGCAGACAAATACAAGAACTCTGGTCATAATCAGCAAATAACATGTAAACAATCTTGAAACAATCTCGCAACCTACATAAATAACATATTTTGGATCTAATTTAGAGTTACTCTATTCTAAAACACAAGGAAAATNTCTCTTACCAATTGATGTTATAGATGTCTTATGAAAATTTGTGATGAAATTGGAAGGGAAGAAGCAAGGGCCAAATGGAAAAAATGAGTTGAGTTATTTGCACTTTTAAAGTAATGTTTTATATGATTAAGTTCTTTAAAATAAACAATTATGTTTGCTCTCAACATTAGATTGTCATAATCAAAGTACAATGAATGATTCAAATTGAATTATAATCTGATTTTTTTTTTTATTTATTCAAATAAGAAAGTATTGTATTATTGCATTATTTCATATCAGCTTCTTGAGATTGTATTAGTTCCTTTGCTCAAGGTTTGGTGATTTTTTTAAGTTTTCACTAGTTGATTAGTAAACAATGGCAAAGCTGCGGAGAGACACCCCCCCCCCCCCCCCTCCCTCTCCTGCGGGCCAAAAATCCTGAGTCCACCACTGATCAATAGTAATTAGCAAAATTTGCTTCAGTTCAATCATACCAGAAAACACCAAAATCAGCTTTAGTCATCTACTCATCTATCAATAACCATCTGATGAATTCCTTAATCAACAGTAATTAACAAAATCTACTTCAGTTCAATCATAATAGAATTGCTATCACTTTAAAAAAGTTACTGTAGATATATATTAATGATATTAAAAAGAAAAAAAGAGCTACTATTGATAGATAATAAGTTATAAAAATATAAAGTATTACTTATTTAAATTATTATCATATCATTTTAACAACAAATATTATCATAGATACGTATTTCATAACATATTAAGGAAAAGTATTGTCTAGTGTTATCGTAGGTTATTTTTTATTTATTTATTATTATTATTATTATTATTATTTTGTAGTGAGAGATGCACGGGTTATGAGGACAACCAACATTGTTGCGATGGGATTCAGCCTTGTGACCGTCACTGGGCTCCACATTCCCAACGAGTTGGCATGTTGTTTGTAGTTTATGTTTTTGTATGAAGTATTATATTCTTGTCATTCCATTGACAAAACTCTTTTGCCCAGCAGCTCATCAAGAGCACGAGAGCACGTGATTCAAATTTTGAATAAAACTTCCCCGAGTGGTGATGATCAGGTTCATGACCAGCAAGCTGTTCTAGATGGTTGACCTGTGTACCCAACTCCAATTGCTAATTTTGTAGTCCCCTTTTTGGCAAGGAGCCATACTCCTATCAATGAGGTAAACAATACTCCACCTAATGATAACCATGAAAGCAAATACGAAACTGTCTTAGTAATGAGAGGTCACGTCGTTTCTACTACATTCAATTCATTGTTGGGTTCATTGCATTGTTAGTCTCTAACTTGGAAGAAGAACCAGAACAATCTATTAAAGTTCTGGTTTATTAGGATTTGCAATAGTTCAGAGGTCATATTGTTTATGTCATTGCGTGTTACATTGTCTCCTTATCTATCCTATTGATAATCTTACCTAAGATTTTTTTCTAATTGTTTTGAGTACTCTAATTATGTGAATGAGCTCATCTATCTCCATTAAAAGCTTCTAATTAAGACAAAATAATTATTTAATTATGGGTCATTGAAAAGGTGGTCGCCCAGTCAAACTACACAAACAAATGGAATGGAAGGTAAGTTAAGGTCAAACAATGTTAGGCAAGACAAATTGCTTAAAATATTAGTGCATGAACGAGAACGACTAATGTTTTGTCTCTTAATCAAATTGTTTAACTATTGTTTTACAAAGCTCATGTGCTTTCTTCATCTCTCTTTAATTTGTATCTTAAATGTACTTTGTCATAACCTNTTGATACTCAAAATAAATAAAGAAATTTGAGTTATTATATATATTTATATTAAGAAAATTTCCTTTTTTTTTTAACTAATTCATATTAAAAGTCAACACAACGTTGACTTGATTTAAGTTTTGATTGACTTTAACTTAGATTAGGTCTAGTCAAAGTCATGAAAATTTACATTATAATCTTTGGAAGCCAAAAATAAAATTAAAAATTAAAAATTAAAAAAAGGTTTTGCTCAAAGTTTACTTAACACATTTACTCAAAATTTTGATTCTCATGGATTTATTCAAGTAAGAAAATGCTGCGTTACTGTATTTTGGTTATTTTTTAAAGTTTTTACTAGTTGTTTAGCAAACAATGACGGAGCCGTGGAGGCCCCCTCTCGACAAAAATTCTGGATCCGCCACTGGCTTGTACCTGGCCCACCCACCTGTTTTGCCTGGTCTATTCCTTTGTATAGTAGTTGGTCATACAGACTAATACCCAAAATGCACTATTCTATCTTAACTTCTAATTATTACAATTTAACCCTAACCAGTCTACTTCCAATCCTTTCAAATCAGTCCAAGATTTTAGTTGTCGTTTGTTTCATTTTTTTCTCACTATCCTATCCAAATACACATTTGTTTTAATATTCACAATTCTCTTCAAAATCCAATAATATTTTATTTAACTCAAAACTTTAACAATCACCTTTCTCAATAAAAAGATTTTAAAATTAATAAAAATGACATCACCTACCCAAGCCACTATCATCACCAACAGTCGTTGTCGTCGCTGCTACCACCGTCACTGTCGGAATGGTGCATGATCGATTAGATCTGGTCGGTCGTGCATTGATTTTGCCTTTTTTGGTCAAATTCAACATGGATCTGGTCAGAAAATGTCAGATCTATGGCCAGAGATCTGGCCGTTAATGGCTAGATCTATCTAGCTGTTGACGACGATCATATCTTTGCTGAATCGATCAAATTCAGTCGATTGTGTGCTATTCTGATGTCAAATGACAATGACGACGGTGGCTGTTGGCAGGTGATAGTGGCTTGGGTAGATAGAGATGTTTTTGTTAATTTTAAAACTTTTATTGTTGGGGGTGTTTAGCTAAATTAAAAAATGTAGGGGTTAAATAAAAATCTAAATATTATTTTATATGTTCTTGTCAAAACTTTCTTCATGTTGATATCCGAAAAGAATTGGATCTTTCAATGATTATTCAAACTTTAATTCATTCGTGGAAAATTGCATGTAGAATCCGGAGAAAATCATAGCGTTTTCTAATTGTCTATTTTTATTTTTCTCCTACATAAATTTCTTGCAATTAATACATTGCTTTGACAATGCATAATTTTCTAGGCCAATGGGCTTAAGCTGGGCCTTAGAGAATATTGGGTCTCTTGGTTGAATTACTCTAAATTGATTTTCTGATGTTTAATAGATCATGAGCCTAACATCAACTATC